TGAACTGTGCCCTGAGACTCCCAAGTTTGAGATTATTCATGGCACAGATAAAAACTCTAAAGTCAATAATTCATCAAGGGTATAATGGCTTTGTTTGGGGGAGGTGGGGGTCACATGGATATTACATCCTGTTTCTGACACTTGTGCTATAAATCTGAGCATTCCTTCAGCACAAGGAGGAGACACCTCCTTACCTTCTGCTCTTTTTCCCCTCTTAAAGTAGCTTTCATCATTTGCATATACTATTTTAAAAACTGAAATTAATTTCATTTTCCCAGAGAAATTCTCTCACCATCACCTGGGTCATTCTTTTCAGTGTTTCATGACTACAAAAGGAGAGAGGTGAATGGAAGAATGGAAAACAAGTGCACCTTGTCTTCAGAGGAATATAAGACAATACCTGGAAATTCAGGGGCTAGGAGTTCTCAGTTCAGGTGGGACAAACATTCTGTGGATATGTTTGGCCTGCTCTCCTTGATTTCAATCTGCAAAAGAGGATTAAGCAAGAGAAGGGGGAAGATGTGTACAAATTTTCAGAATATTGATGAGTTTGGTTTCATAATTCTTACTTTAGAGGGGATTTTATATTATACATATGAAGAGTCTTGGATCTTCACATCCCTTTTTTAATCCTATAAAGTGGCTACTATGGATATTTATCTCTATTTTTTTCCCTTATTTTATTATTATTGGGTCAGTTTTCTTCTGCCTTGGTTTATTTACAAGGCACTATCCCAGTGGTGTGTGTGTATCGTGGATATATAACCTGCCTGTAACTCAAGACTTCCTAAATACGGGGGCTAGATCTCTCCTCTCCAGCAGAGTTGTGTGAGGTATACGTACAGCACAACTAAATGGTTGTTTTCAGAGTAATAAACTCTTGCTTGCCTTTCATGCCTGGTGAACAAATTCTCTTAGATTACTTTCCACTAAGTCTAGGCCAGCACTGTATGAAGATCATACACATGGAGGAGCATGGGAGGCTCACCTAAACAAAAGTCAGTGGAAAGAGGACAGTGGTGGAGAACCCATGACAGGTGTGCTGCAGCAGGCTGTATCACTGAAAGCTCTAAAAGGTTCACCATCCCTGCTCTAGAGGCTTAAGATGAAGTGATAATGTGATCTAGTTGTAAGGAATGACTGCCATCACGGACAGTTTTAATCTAGAGTGAGAGACAGCATGGGACTTTCTAACATGTAGGCACCGTATTACTTCTGCATCTATGTGATTTGTGAAAGGGTGACATTTTACTAGAGGCTTCTATGAGTTGAATTGTGTGCCTCCAAATGTTGAACTCTTTCAGTCCGCTTTACTTCTGCATGTGACCTTATTTTCACAACAGTGTGGTATATGTCATGTGTGAAGATGCGATCATAATGGAGTATATTGGTCCTTAAACTAGTATGAATGGTGTTCTTAGAAAAGAGGGATGGTAGTGGTGGAGGACTTCCTGTGAAGAGGCATGGTGTTATGGTTTGTAAATGTCCCCTCAAAGACTTATGTGGTCTTGGGGGAGGGTCGGCCTTTGGAAGGCGGCTGAGACTAGTGTTTTTGATTGGTCCTTTGTTTAGCACTGGGACTAGCAGTCTGAGTGTTGCATTTGCCCAGAGGCGGGAAGCCAGCATACAACATAACAGAGGGAAAGCAACTTTCTCCATCTTTTTGCCCTTTTTAGTCTTGTCACTTGCAGCTGCCATAAACAGTTGCCCCTTAGCCATGCCACCCTGTGTTGAAACCAGCTGAATATGCACTGAAACCTCCAAAAACTGCAAGCTAAATAAACTTTGCCTTCCTTCATTTTGGGTATCAAGTATTTTGTCTCAGCAATGAGAGAAAAGTAATCAAGACAGAGGAACACACAGGGAGAAGATGGTCAGCTGATGAAGCAGAGATGCCTCTACAGGATAAAGGATGCCAAGGATTGGTGCTAACTGACAGAAGTGAGGAGAGGAGCATAGAACAGAACTTCCCTCAGAGCCTTCCTTGCAGTCACCTTGATTTGACACTAGAACTATGAGAGAATACATTTACATTGTAATTAGGCAACTCTAAGAAGCCAATAGTGGCCTTGACTCTCAGATGAGGATCACTAGGGTGTGTAAGGGTTCTGTCCTCAGAGGGACATTTAAAAGACCCTAAAGAGCTATCAAAACTCTGACATCCATAGTCATGTCTTTGAAGGCCCCTGAAATGGAAAAGAGTTTAGGTTTAGTCCACAACTCCAGAGGCATGATTCGAGCTCATAACCATAGAGTTATAACTATCCAATAGTGAGCTAGGAAGATCCTCTACATTAGACTCACTAAGATGTGATTTCTACACGAGATAGTCTCATTCAGTTGTTAAGCTTTCTATACTATAAATACTGTTGTATTTATATAGCTTGTGCTCATCTGTGAGGATAAACTAAGTGATATTTTCTTGGAAATCTTTGAAATCTAAGATTTATTTTCTTAGCTGTCCATAGGAAATGATATAGTTAACTAATTTAGCTATCAAATGTTTAAGGATCTTTCTCTCTCTCTGTCTCTGTCTCTCTGTTTCTCTATCCCTGTCCCTGTCTCTGTCTCTGTCTTTGTCTGTCTGTCTGTCTGTCTCTCTTCCCCTCCCTCCCTCTCTCTGTATTTACTTAAACTATTGCTGCATACATTCAGGATAATATGGCGAGGCGCATATGCCTAACTACCACCTAACATTTTTGATGGGTGATTTTGTGCCAGTCATATGGACTATCCAAAGAAGCAGGAATGAACGAATTTTATTCTTTATCCATTTTGACACTTCTTTCTTGATACAAACTCAAGGTATTCTGTCAAAACACATATATTTTTTCACATGTCTTCGTCCATCACCATTCAGCAGATCTGTACTGAGTCAACACTATAAATCACTGAGCTAGGCACTTCAGGGTAATGTGAAGATGAATAAGCAATGATTCATACCCATAGGGAATTTATTGGGTCAGACTTCTTTTTTTTATAAGTTTTCTAGGAGACACAAGGGAGAAGAAGGCAAATGAGGATGTTCACTCACTTTAATGTACCAGCAAAGTTCCTTAAGCCTGCTAGTTATGTCTTTGGGTGGCATGGTCTAGACCAAGATTTTTTTCTTACATGATGTGAAAGTTGGCAAAGGTATATTTCCTTCTGCCTCAAGTCTCTTGCTCTTTTTATGTTTTGAACAGGCATAATAATCTTGGCTTGACTAGACAATCATCTGTGCGTGGAACTATACCTCCTACTTTCAGTGCAATGCGTTGTTCAAATTGATTTTAAGTTGCGTTAAACATTTTATACAAATAGATGTCATCCAGGAGAAGGGAAAGATGGATAAGAATTAGAGCCCAAAGTACTCAAAGCAGTTTATTTTATGCTCAGCTGAGGGTATATCTTTGCCCTCGTCCTTCCTGTTGATTTTACTTACTTTTTTTCTTGTGGTTCACTGCCAGATACACTAACAGTATCAGCTGGGAGAAGGGAGTAGGTGCAGAGAGCTGGCTGCTGATCTGTGCATCACCTGTAAATTGGAGTCTTGAGAAGCTGATGCTGCCAACCTGACAGAAGACAGGATACCAGACCTGGGGTGAGAGTGGCAAGGCTTCCTAATTATCAATGGATCTGAGCCCAGAACTCGTTCATTCTGGCTGAAGATTTCTTTATTTCACGAGTGACCTATTTTAGCATTGATGGGTACACATAAAAGGAAACTTGCTGATACTAAGAGAAGATTTGGTTTGGCAAGAATCTAAAATTTCTGCCACATGGTGTAAATGCTCTCGGGATTTAATTCACCCACCATGTCTGGTTTGCCCCTTTCCGCCAGCACCTGCATATCAGAGTGCTGAAGGAATGACCATCAGCATCACCTCCTCTCACACTCATCCATCACCCCTGTGCCGTGATGGACCTGGCTCCACACAGAGCCCTGACAGCCATCACTGGGAGAGGACCATGGCTAAGCTTGCTTCCTCACTCACCTGATTATCATTCAGGGCTTTTAAGCTTCATCGATTTCTGACTTCTTAATATTGCTATACTATATTCTTCTGACTCTCAAGAGCAAAAGGGAAAGATACATGTTAGAAAAGGAGCTGGTTCTCAGCCTGTATTTCCTAATTTTAAACACTAATTTCAAGGGCAGAGGAGGGAAATCTAGGAACCCATAAACCCTAACCATACTTCCATATCGACCAGTCTAAAGCATCTTTCCATTTCCGAAACTGCCAAACATCACTGCTGATTTAGCCTGGGAAGATGATATTTACTATCACCGGTAGCTTTGGGCAGATGTATTTGTTTCTTTTCTTCAGCCCAATCAGTTCATATCTCTTAACTATTTTGGAGAACGTAAACTTAACAAAGATGACGCCCTTGGTATCCTTAATTTTGATATAAGAGCTGGCAATTAAAGAGTTAGCCGATAACCTGCCTTACAGTGTGACAGGCTGCACGCTCACCTAACCATAACATAGTACAACGATGGCTTACTAAGCTTGTCTGGAGAAAAAAAATACATATTTAAATAAAGAGAAAATATAAACAATAGAATATTAGTTATACATTATAGATTACAATAAAGGAAAATACTGAGTGTGTTTTAAATGATTAATGTATGAAAACAGCCATCATTTACTGTGCATTAATCAAGAAAAAAATGCCCATTTCCCACCGTGGTTAATGTAGCGGGCCTGTGGGTCAGACTTGATAATACGCATAGTAATGCCCAGTATGACAATGAGTTTGGGTAGCTGAAAATTTAGGATGGTTGCAAGTTTTGTGTAGTATTTGGATTAGCATCTTAATCTGTGCCTTGTCAGCCTCTTCAGCATACAAACTATGTATTTTTTGAAAACTAGCAAAAATAGATGCAGATTTTAGAAATGTTTTTCCTTTTTTTTTTTTTTTAAAGAACAAATAATGACCAAGGTACCTGCTTAAACAAATACTACCAGCTTTCAGTAGTTAGGATGGTTACATGTGAAAGAAATGATGCCAGATAGTAACAAATCCAAGAGAAGTTTATTATGAAAATGGCACCTGCGGATGAAAAAATTAAGTTACATAAAGACAACCATGTATGTGACATGTATGAGGATCTACAAAAGTATAAAAAGAACCCTGTTGTAAATGAAGTATGTACATTTCTGATCTGCAGCATTATCAATGGTCAATGAAAAAAAATGTTTCAAAATAAGCCAGGCACTCAGGAAGTTAGGTCCGGTTAGCTTCACACAAAACAAATGTACCATAGCTGTCACTTTGTAATGTTTTAATTATTTTTTATATATATCGTAGAGTTGGTAACACTGCTAAGATTTTTACGAACAGAATATCCCTTTCCCCATTATTCAGCTACTTGGCACCAGTCTCCTCATAAAAGTTTTCATATATTTGTACAAGAAATAGTTAAAAACACAGACACAGTCTTCACAGGTAATGAAGTGTTTTTTTTTTCATTTTGTAATTTTAAACACTATGGATTTAGACAGCAGCTGTGATTATCTGTTAGTTTAAATCACCAGAAATCATTTTGACACAACACAGAAACATTTATAAAAGAAAAAAAAAACAGCTGTCTAGCTGTTCTTTGTAGCTGATAGGTGCATTCCTTTGATTGTTCGATAGCTAGAGCAGAGCTTCCAAAATTAATCTTTAAATTTCTTGATCAAACTTCTTCACCTTCTAAACCTACTTATATCCTTCAAGTGAGCTCACTACTAAAATGTGTGGCATTTAACTTCCTTCTGTTATGATTTCACCATGGCTTGGGCCCAACTCACAGAATCAAAGGTTCTAGAGGAATCCACTCAACACAGTGATATTCAAAGGACAGCCGCGTTACTATATTAGCATTGCACGAATAAACAAATATATATGACAGTTATATATTCCATTACCCCCTCCCACTTTGTTTTTTTAAAAAAACATTGGTTGACCTTTGAAATAATTTTCTGTCTCACTGGTAATTGCTTTATATATTGCTCCATCAGCCAACCTGAAAGGAAACCAAAGAAAAGCACCCACTGCTTATAGGTAGAGCACAAGGGACTCTGGGAATGTCAACAACTGGGGCTGTATGGCATCGGTTTGTTTAGTATATCTGAGCATTATTCTTCAGTGCTTTGTCTTGCACTCCAGAAGAGAGTCATACCCAGAATTCCGTTGTGGGAAAATGGCTCCATTCACCTTGAGCTAGTTAAGAGTCTTTTTTTTTTTTTTTAATCTCTGAGAATGAAAAAGATTTTGGATATACAGGACAAGGAAAGCAGAGGGACGAGGGAGGACAGGACAGGGAAGGGAAGAAAGGGGAAGCAGGGAGCATATACACCAGCAAAGCAACAGCAGGAATTTTAAAAAGTAAAATGGAGAATTCACAGACAGTAGAAGCAGTCAGTATAGGGTGACATTACAGAGGAAGGCCACCACACAAAAACCACTAACCCCCAAGAATCACTGATTCACTAGGACTGCAGGAATGGGACTGTACCACTCCAGACTAGAGATAGAGCACAGAGAAGACAAAGGACAAAACAACTACATTAGCTTAGTATATACTGCATATAGAAACACACATTGAAACTGCATGGGACTGACGGCCAAAGACACATACACACTGTACACGTTACAGTTTTCACATCCGTTATTAGATGCCTTAACAAACAGCTGCCAAAAATGAAGTGGAGGAAGAATTTATACTTGACAGTCATTTGGAGTGTTTGACACCACACTGATTTCTGGCAACAAAGACAAAATAGGATATTTTTTCTTTTCTTTTTCTTTTTTTCTTTTTTTAACTTAATGTGCAGTTTTCATTTGCAGTTATCTGTCTGAAGCTTATTAACCCATTCTTTAGTTTTAAAACTTATTGGTTTCAATCCAGAAATAAGCAAAGGGAAATAAATTCTAGCAAACCAGTCCCCCAAAATACAACCTTCCATTTTTTTTTCTTTAAGCAAGAAATGAAAAAGAAAACCAGAAACATGTTAAATATTTTCCTTCTTTTACTTCGAAGTGTTACTGTAGTTGCAAAATTAGCCTCAGTTAGACTGAGTAAGGAAAAAAAAAAGCTCAACAAAAGACAGTATGTACCTAAACTGCTCCTCAAATCAGCTTGATTGAGTTTTCCGAAAGCCCCTTTTTAAAAGGACTTTACTGACCCCTTAAATTTAATGTGAGGCTATGTTTGTTAGTTGGGAGGTAAAAAAATTTAAGTCCTGCAGCAAACGTTAATGAGGGCTTTGTCTTAACTAACCAAGGAGACTGCAGCAACGGACTCCAGACCAAGACAGAACACATTTTTTTTTTCCCCAAAACTCAGCCCAGGAGCTGCATTTTGTATGAAGACATTACAGATTAATAAATGATAGCACCATGGTTTTAGAAATTAAGTTAATGTTTCAGTAATTAACATTTAGTCCAACTTTTTTTTTTTAAAAAACATTCTAGTCACAGGCCAGAAATTAAGTTTAAGAACCCAAATTATTTTTATGTGCAAGTAAGAAAATCTTAAAATCTTAACCATAAAAAGAGAATTAAATTCTGCATAAAATTCTAAAATACTATCCCCCTATTTTAAAAGGAATTAAGAACAGAAACAAACAAACAAACAAAAAAACCACCCCATATCATTTGACTTAGTCAAACAGGGCATTGTTTATGCTTGTCTCTTTCCATCTTGATCAGATCAAGATCTTTATGAAAAAACCAAGGGTTGTTACTTGAAAAATCTCTTGACCACAAGACTGAGTATTCTATGGCAGAGGCATATACACATTAAAGACATCTTAATAAAGATGCAAAGGAAAGCAAAACAACCCAAGACACATCTTAGAAGAAGACAAAACGGCAGGCAACTGGTCATCTGACCCTCTGAAGGCAAAAAATAAACGTATCTTTACATGAAAGAATAAGTCATATTAAAGAAAGAAGGGATGGAATGGGGACCGTCGTGTGGAGAGAAGACGCTGACCTGCTCGAATTCAAAGTGCTAGAATTAAAGGTCTAAAACGAAAAGCCGACGATGCCTCCAAGCGGAACCCGCGCACGCCGGGCGGGGGCGCCCGCCTCAGTCCTCCTTGCGCTCCAGAGTCTGCGCGGCGTGGATGCCGTTGCTGTAGACCGGGAAGGGCAGCGTGGAGAAGAGTCCCTCGGCCGTGGTGAACACGTTGCCCGCGGGCATCTGCGTCAGGCTGGCCGCGCTCACGGCGCCGCCGAACGGTCCGGACATGTTGAGCCTGTGCACGTGGTGGTAGAGCATCTCCATGGGCGTCTTGGGGTCGAGGCCAAAGCCGGGGCTGTTAACGTCCACGAAGTTAACAGCGTGCGCGTTGGGCAGCAGGTTGCCCTGCATGGCCAGGGTCACCTCGGCGGGCGCGTAGCGGATGGTGCCCGTGGTGTAGACCCTCTGCGCGGCCGTGCTGGTGGCGGCCAGGGTGCCCGTCACCCGGTGCACCAGAGGCAGCACCACGTTGCCCGCTTGCAACCTCTGCAGCGCCTCCAGGTCCCCAGTGTACAGCAAGGAGTTGGCCGCGCTGGGGCCCCCGCCGCCGCCCCCGCCGGCCCCGCCGCCCCCGGGGTGCTTGTCCCGCGGGGACGCCGACAGCGGGGGCGACAGAGGGTCGGAGGCGACGGGGGCCAAGGCCGAGGCGGCCGAGGAGCCGAACTGGGTCTTGCGGGCGGCCGCGCCGTCGGCGCCCGGCGGGGTGAGCACCGAGTCCGGGATGGCCACGTGCAGCCCGCCGCTGCCCGCGCCGCCCTGCGGGGACGGGAAGTGCTCGGAGCTGGGCGGCTTGGTCATGCTGTAGGGGGACTCGTTCCTGGAGATCTCCCGGTTGGGCGGGTAGTTCCAGATGCTGCTGTCGTTGTCGAAGTTGATGGGTTCCGAGATCTCCGTCTTGATCTTGAGCACCGAGGCACTGTGCGGGGAGGACAGCAGCCGCGGGGGCTCCACCAGGCCGGCGTCCAGGCCGCCGGGGCTCGACGCGCTGGACAGGCGCCGGCGGCTGGCGCTGCCGCCCTTCTGCCGTTTCCGCCGCTTCTTGCGCTTCTGGTGCTTGCTGGAGGCCTGCGCGCCCGCCTCGCCCGCGCTGTCCGAGTCCTTGGCGCTGTCGGACGTGAGCGACTCGCAGTTCTGCAGCCGCAGGTCCGACTCGCTCTCCACGTAGCGCTCCACCTTGATCTGCATGGGCCCCAGCGCGCTGAAGCCGTCCTCCGCCGCCTTGGGGTTCTCAAAGTCCGAGTGCTCGAAGCTGTCGTCGCTGTCGCGGCTGTCCGGGTTGCTGGAGCTGTGGCCGTCGTCGTTGCAGTTCATGTCGTTGTCGCACCCGCTGCCCGACTTCTTGCGGTCGGGCTCCGGGTCTTCGCTGTTCTCCGACTGATTCCCCTTCTCGTCCGACTTGGAGTTCTCGTTGTCCTCTGCGTGGGGTCCGCGGCCGGGGCAGAGGGGAGAGTGGGGAGAGAGAGGGGACACGGGGTTAGCGGGTTACAGGGCAGAGCCGGCCTCCCCCTGCAGGGGCGGGGCAGGAGGCATCTCGTCCCCTCCAGAAACGGCGCCACCTTCTGTCGACTGCAGGCCTGGCCCGGACGGGGACAAGTTTACCCGGCCAAGGGCGTCACCTGCACACCTGACACAGTGTAGAATCTCAGGCCCCACCCGGGCTGCTGAATGATTCTGCACCTAACAAAGATCTCCAGGTGATTCTCAGGCGCCTGGATGTTTGAGAAGCCCTGTAGCGATTACTCAGATAACCTGGAGAAAGGTGGAAGAGACCCAGAATGGAAGGCTAGGGGGCCACTAAAGAGCTCTGCACCATCCCCTGGTGAATATTTGTTCTTTCCTGAAAACTACACTCCCTATTTCTACTGTTACTTTTCTCCATAGCATTTATGAATTGCCGTCTCATTCTTTGTATGTCTTTATGTTTTGTTTGCTTCTGTCCTTTCCACCCAGTAGAAAAAGCCCCAAGGAATAGGGAATGTTCGTCTTGTTTTGTTTACTGCTACATACTATATAAATAAGGGGCAGAGACTATTCTAGTATCTGTCGTAGTAAGAACTTACAAATTAATACAATGTAGGGGGCAAGAAGACTATCAAGGTCCACTACAAGTACTCTCCTCTTCCTGATGCCTCCCTGAAGCTGTGTCTGACCTCCAGGAGTTCAGATTGACAGGCCTGGAGTGCTGCACTCTGATGGTAGGGGTTTGGCAGAGGAACTGTAGCCACCAGCCACATTTAGGAAGAATAGAATTTCCCAGGAAACACAACCTCAGAATCTTGGTGAATGCTGTTGATCTTTATGGATTTGAGAGATGGTTTTGGAGGGAGCTTGGGTTAGAACCTTGGGCAAATCATGTAACCACACTAGCCTGCATCTTCCTTTTTGTAGCAGAGTGACACTGTCAGAAATGACTTGAGATTTTTTTTTTCAGCTGTAAAACTGTATGAGTTTTGTAGTCCCTGGGTTTCTATGTGTCTGTGGAGGGGGATTAGGGATTGGAGGAAAAGTAAGTTTTTGTATTAATTCTCTTGAGCACCAAATAACTACTTAGGAAGTCTACTTCCTCAGATAATTAGAAAGGGGAAGCATGAATTTGTTCAGCATAAATTCAGAAGACAAGCAATAGTCCAGGACCGTGACAGAGGTATTCACTGATGTTACTGAATATCTATCCTAGTTTGAAGATTTGATCCCTGCTTGGTAAAACTATGAACATTTGGAACTCAAAGTCACAGGCTGTCTTGGAGCAGGCAGAGCCATGCCTAATACCTGCTTTCAGTAAAAAATGTCAGAGCTAGGTACGGGGTTGCATCATAATTCCTTTGTATGGAGATATATATATATATATATATATATGTGTGTGTGTGTGTGTGTGTGTGTGTGTGTGTGTGTACATAGGGGGATAGAGAATGAAAGTGACTCAGTATAATAATTTGATGTACCTCTATGTAAAAGCTGACTAGTTGCTTGGCCTTGACCATGGCCCTCCGGCTGCTGCCCACCCCTCAATTAAGGCAAACCATAGTTACAGAACATGGAGAAGTAATACCTGTAATACCTGAGGTGTCTTTAGAATCTGACTCAGAGTCGGATGTCTCGGAGGATTCCGAAGTTTTCTCTGGCAGGTGGGGGAGCTGTGCGATGTCCATGGGTGTGTCTTTGTACTCGGGATTGCTGTGGGTAGGAAGGCATTCATCAGGAGTGCAGGCATTCATTTGGGTGGTTTATTTTGAACTGTCTTCTCCTGCATTTCCTGTCCCTAAACCTCTGGAGTTTAGAAGACTAAATAGGACATAATTTTTCTGCTCTTAGAACTTTTTACAGAAGCTTGGATTATATGCGCCAGGGCACAAGTGCAACCTGCTGAATGATTGAATACCCAAATACTCTTGAAAGCTACTTTAAAAAGCTTTTAAGTAATCAGGTACCACTGGGCGCCAGGGAACTATGCCGCTTGACAGTTCTCCCCAAGCAACACAATTCTCCCAGTGTTCTCCACAATTCTTCCCCACACCTCCTGGTGTGTTCTACTTTGCTTGGGCTCCCACAGAGTTTGTAGCCTCAGTTCCCCTGTCTTGGGCCCTTCATGTAGTCTAAGAGACTACAGATGGCTCCAATGCTACTGGGAGGAGTGCAGAGTCCTTGCTGCCTAATGATCTGACAGATCACAGGTGCACCTTGGGATGCATGGATTATGGCTACTGAACTGTCAACACACCCATTACAATCACATTTTCATTTGCTCATGTGGTGCACACCTGTGGCTTGTTAGCTGGAAATTTGATTGCAGTGGGGAGAATCCCAGGGTGTGAGTCTCTACAGAATGGATCTAACCCCATTTGCGCAAACGTGCTCAATTTTTGTTCTATTTTTAATTCAGAAATAAGCCTCTTGTGGAAAAGAGAGCATGCTTGGTCAGTTTGGGCAAGCTGTCTTCTAGAAATGCCATTCCCAGGCTGGCTGATATCTGAGCACTAACAGCTCCTAGGATTTGAACCTATAAGGAGAACATCTTGTCTCCAAATGGGAACTTACCCTCCTGTCCTGGAAAGGCCAGCCAGGCAGAGGCTTACTACAGATGATTACAGAATCATTTGCTAACCTCTAGTGGAATTTCCATATTAAAGAATCACTGTTTCCGTAACTACTCTAAAACCTCAAACGTCCCTTGGAGGGTTAATTCACTAAGATGGATTATCAGACATTTACTCCTTAGTGTGAATTAGCTTCAACAGCAAAGCTCCCTCTAGATAATCAGATAAGACTAATGGCAGAAGGACGGACTTAGCTCTTTGCAGACTCCAATACTGAGGTCTGTCATTCTGCTCTGTGTTATAAGGGAATGGAAAGAAGACTGAGAAGCAGTGACTTAATAACAGGGAAGGATCAGCCTGGATGGGACCCATAAATCAGGGATTCTGAGGAGGAAGAAAGTATGAAAATGTTGTTCAGGGAAGAATGAAAGACAAGAAGACCAGAAAAGAAAACCAAACAGCAGTATTACCATGTGGCCGAGGAGATCTTACTAGAACTCCAGGGTATAGAAGGACACTTAGGGGCCACAGGCTGTGTAGTCTCCTTTACCTTCTGTGCCATGCAGGTTCAAAAGTCACTTGTCTCCTGAATGTCTTTTGTCATTGACTTCAGGATAGGTCTTTAGGTCAGTTAAAAAGGGTCCACTATACCCGAGACAGAGTCTGGAGCCTGAGGGTTGGTCTTGGACTATTTAACTCTAGGCTAGCTCAATGGTACTGATCCCAAATTGTGTAGACTGACATCTCCTTACCTTTTTTATTTCTTCCATTTAGGAAGTCCTGGGGCTGATGAGGTAGTAAGAAAGATTCAGAGAGGAAAAGAGTCTCACAGAATGGGGGTAACAGTCTTATAGATGACTTCAGTGCCCTATGTTACACCAACCTACAAAACAAACTTTTTAGCTTATAGTCTCTTGGTTGCCAGTGTTTAATTCTTAATATCAATGTGTTTCTGTGCACAATATCCTTTTTAGTGTTAAGAGCTACCATATATTTTTCCCTGCTTGGCACATGTGCTCTTTTGTCATTCTGTATTACACGTAGTTGCTGTCTGTGAAACTCCATGTAAAAGGACTTCTTGATATCAGAACCCATCCTGAGCATATCACAACCACAGGGGATACTTGGCATGAAAATCAAGCTTTGGAGAAAACCACATCAAATATACATACTTTTACTTTTAGAAAGAATTAATATAGAGCAGAAGAGGTCAAAAAAGGAAAAAGAAAGTAGATAAATGAAGACTCAGTTTAAGTGCTGCCCATTAAGCCCCTCTCTAGAGCAATAATCATTAGTATCTGATTGATATGCTGTTGGAAGCAAGCACATTCATGCCTTCAAGTCATCGCCAAAGTGTGTGAGACATGAAGGGCCAGTGTGCTGATGAGCCATAGTTGTTAGCATCTCAGCTTCATTTGGCTGTCTCCAAGAAAAATGGGGTTCAGGTTGAAATTATCAGCCAAAGGGCACGGCTTCCATTTATTAGACCTATTGGAAGTTTTCCTGCTCAGATCACATGAGGCAGTGCTGGTGGCTTTAGGATAACAGAAACCAAAGGCTGGAATGACATGCTGGGAGCGAGCCAAGCCAAACACTGTATTGTGATAGTTTCATGACAGGATTAGTGAAGAACCTCACAGAATGCTTGTCCCCTAACTCAGACCATCTTGTCTGTCTGTTGATTATTTTTTCTGCTAATTTGAATCCAGCAACAGAAAGTAGATGGGGAAGGAGAGAGAGAAGGTGTCTTACACCAGAATTTAAGAGACGACTGAGCTTGGACTTAAGTATGGATATAAATTTGAGGACATTTTAAGAGCAGTAAAGCTGGCCTGGGATCACAGAGGAGTGAGATAAAGAAGACTGTCTTCATTTTTTTATACTGAGATTGTTATTATTCTGGCAAAGCAACGTACTTTGTTTACCAAAACCTTAATGCCTAGAAAATTAAACTCTGTGGACAAGGCTGACTGCATCAAAGGGATGAACCATAACAGGAATATCCTGCACTCTGCTCCTTGTTCACCACCCCTCCTCTTAACAGTCCTAAAAATCAGAGGGTGTGAGTGAAACTGTGGTAGGGACACGGAAGTGATTTTTGAGTGCTTCAGCTGCAGGCGAAAGTCCATATTCTCTTTCTGGTCTCAGCATTTGTGAGGAAACTAAAGCAGCTTCTACAGAGTTGCCCAAATGTTAACTGAAGATTAATCGAAGATCTCACAAGTCTGCCCTGCAAGTCTTTCAGTCTCGTAGAAAGCAGAGTAGAATTTCCATGAAATTCCACACCAAGTACTGCCAAAAATAATGCTCATAACATGTCAGCTATTAAATGTAAGACTACATTTCTATAAATGAGACAAATAAAAAGGAATTAGAAATTATACCTAAGAAGATAATTCACCCAGATGATGTTCTTTTCATTGGCATTCTTGGCATTAATAGCTATGGTGGCACTAGACTGTATCCAAATGTAGCCTCCGTTCTTCTGCATCCAGCGATAGTACTTCGTCACACACTGACCCTTATTCAGCACTGAGGGAGAAAGGAACAAAGCAGAGGCATTACATTAAGACTGGGATCAACTGATTTTCCTCTCTGCGAAACCTCAACAGTAGGTCCTGCGCCATGTCGAGGGTACTCCTGTGTGTGTGGTGTAGTATCCCATCAGGAGGACAAATGAAACCATCAGCTTGGAGGAGCGGCAGCTCTAGAGCCAGGTTACTGGCATTTGTAGCAAGACTTTATTCTGTTTTGGGCAGCCATGGTGTGAGAGGAAGGATAAAAAGATTACAAATCTTTTTGGCTCGCAGAACACCTAGTGTGGATATTGTCAATGGCTTAGACGTCAGACGGTAAGAAGGCAAATTTGTATGTGATTTATTCATAGCTTCAAGGTAGCCCGCTTTGAGATTCTGGATATTTGAATGGTTCCGAAGATGCTTTACCCTTCTGTCTTTGATCATTTTCCCTGAGTGAGAGCAATATCAACTGGCGTCCTTACACATCTGTTCCTTTTGATCTTGTCTAACAGAATTTATAGTCCTTGGATGAACTAAATTTACATTGGTCAGTCAGGGGAAATTCTGGTGTGACTATCGAATGTTGGAACAAAATAAATCCTCGAATCGAGTCAGAAAGAAATGCTGGCCTAAGGGAGGCACAGAATTGACTTGGCAAGAGCCAAACACAGTGACAGCTCCACACAGACTAAAATATGGTTCAGAATGAAGGAACAAGTAAAAACAATCAGTAATGTGAAACGGTGCCATTAAATACCCACTGAAAGAGAGCTTTAAAATGCAGATGTTAAAAATGATACTTGAACCAAAATCTTGCCAAGTTGAAATTGATTTGATTTGTATCTGGGTACTCCTGAGCTAGTAAAAGGGGAAAGTGCATTAAATCATCCCCTGAAATAAAGTGCTGTGGATGGGGATGGTTTAAAAGGATGCCGGAAATGTGCAAAAGCTGCTGTTGTGTGAGTTGGACATGGATCGCCAGCAACTCCGCACCCCTCCCCAGCTCACCACCCAGCTGGCCACTAGAGGGCAGTGTGCACTCGTCTACGTGGCCCACATTTGGCATGTCCTTGTCTCCGTCTGCTAAAATGAAAAACCTCTAACTGCTGTAATAAATTTGGCTAAATTAGCTGCTAAATGGTTATCTCAAGTAATATGTATTTGCATTAATCATCTTGCTCTAAACCAGAACAAGCCAGAGTCCTAAAGACGTAGTAAATTCATATTGTCCATTTAATTACGGCTAATAAGTGCTTCATATACAATAGTTTCATGAAGTACATTTTGATTTTTTGTGGGGGTTGGATGGATAAAAGGGAGTCACTTTGGAAAAGAGCTGTATTCAGGCTGTTTAAACTCTTCTTATCATGTCCTCGGCCACTCTTTCTGCCATTGAGAGTGATCCCAGATCACATCAGCACGTACTGTATCTATAAACATATGCTCTGATGCTTTCCTCTCATTCTTTTTTTCCTCACAGTATGCTAAATGGATGGTTGTAAAATTTAATAATCATGTCTTCACTGTTACTTGAAAAAGGCTTGCTTTGATGAGGGTTTCAAATTGCGGCAAGTTCTATTCTTAGAATACTGAGCAGTTTAGGGTATTTTTAAGGTCCAGAACTGTCACCTTCCCTTAGTGGCGAGGCTCCACAGGTAGCATTGTACTCCCCTTTTGCAGGCAGTTGTAAGTTCTGCCATTCTGCATGCATGGCTTCCCAGGGCACAAAACTGCGTGGTGAAGCTGATAGCAGTAAAATACTAACTCTGCCACACCGCTCTTCTGTCAAACCATTGTTGCATGCAAACACGAAGTGCTTTTATTCAAATCCTCTCAACTTGGTTAACTATTAATCGAGGAATGGTATGCTCTATAATTCTGCCCACTCTGTCATGGTGAAAACTTACAGCACTCCAGTCAGTGGGTGATGGTATCTTTCCATCTGCTTTATCTCTGGGCTAAAGGGTAACTGCAAATGATTCTAGGACTTTTAATAAAGGCAACAAGACTCAGAAATCCCCTTTTAGAGTCACACAAAGAAAACAATGAGATTGTGACTGGATCGGATCAACCTAGCTGTGGGTTCTGGACTGGGAAGTGACCCAAAGTGGGTAAAAGTTTGAAAGTGCCAGAATACAGACTATAGAAAGTGGGAAAAAAAAAAATAAAGGAATTAGACTTGGCAGAATCAACATAAAGATCACCTGACTCTCTTCCTAATACATTTTTTCTTACAAGGAAGTGAAGTCTCAGCTTTAAAATGGATAGCAGCAAAACATCTGCCTCCCTGGTGGTTTTCAGGTGTGTCTGGAGAAGGGACTAAGAGGCTTTTCGCTAAAAGTCTGGCACAATGTCCTCTCTGTAAGGCAAGGCAGGATGACTTGGCCTGCTTAAGTACATCTGTGTTTTCTGGGAAACTAAATACTAACTTAATTGGGTCCACGAATACATTAATGAAAGTATTCTTTATCAAATCCAGACTAGGGGCCATCTCGCAAAGAGAGGAGACCTAATGAAAGAGAGGCAGGACAGGCACTTTGGATGTGAGGAGATAGTTGTAAAAGCACCACAGAGCAAGGGTGTGAGAGGTTTCCAGGGAGTTACATGATTATCTTTGAATTCTAGCAGTAAATTCCAAGAATCAGGTTCCAGAGCTCACCATCAGCAGCTGAAAAACTCAAGTTTGACCAAATCCAGATTATTCCCTGACAGACAGAATTTTCAAAAGATGGACATCTTAGTGTAGTCTTACATCATGACTTTTTCTTAAGGATGAGTGTTTTCTGCACGAGACTCCCTGCCTTATTGAGAAGCCAGATAACTACAGGTAAAGTATGAAGTTAGCTCTCACTAAAGCATAATGTATTCACCAAAATATCGCCCAAGTGGCTTTCACTTTTTAGAAGGTCTTATAAAAGACAGCACAGCAGAGTCTCACTTCTTTTAAAATGAACAAGAAATAAGTTTTGCTTGGGTTTCTAGAATATAAATTTGAGACTTCAGGATGAAGCTTATTTCTTGGAAAAAAAATCATACTGGCAAATCAGTTGGATCATTCCAGCTGTGCCAGAGGCAGGATCTGCCAGCTTTTCCTGAGCTCATGTGGTCCTAATCAGCTCAAGAAGAAAAGCCACCTTGGTGCCAGTTTGAAAGAGATTTTTAGTGTGTAATAAATTAGAGAACTTGAAAAAAAACACCAAAAACTTCTTGATTCTCTTTAATCCAGTGGCTTGTTTTTATTTTCAAGTTTGAGGTTTAGAGAGCAGAGAAAAATGAGAGTATTTGTATCAAGCTATTTCAGAAAATCCCTTTTAAAGGGAGAAGCAGAAAAAAACACAATATGAGTTACCTGCTATAGAAGTCCTTAAAAGATTGAATTGTCCCTTGAAAAGAAATAGGTAATCGTCAAACCAAGGAGCCAGCAGTAAGTTCATAACCACGTGCACAAACTCTCAGAGAAAAAGTGGAGCGAGGGGACTACATACGTGGATCATAGTTGTACTATCTCATCCACAAGATATGGGCTGCTAACATGAAACTCGGCATCTTCTCTTTGGTTTATTTCAAAGTTTACATTTTGTTGTCCAAAATTCTTGGTGGAGCAGCCTTTATGTCTTTCAATAGAATTCACTGATCACATCATAACATGTCTAAAGTTATCTTTAATGGTGTGTGATAGGAATTAGCTTTTTCATAATGATCTCAAAAAATTAAATGGACTTTTCTAAGATTTCACAAGGTTAACATAAAGACATAGGGAAGATAAATAGTTTTCATAAGTTCACTTCGAATCTTGAATGAGCCAGACATGACTGGCACAAGAATATGCCCCTATTGCTTTGAAGCCTGTGATGTAACCAATGGCTTTTTGTTGTTAGTGCCCTAAGGAAAACTAAGATTCAGTCCTCAGGACCCTCCATGCTCCAAGCTGAAGGTGTCTTTGAGTTACAATCTGTGTTCCTCAAAGGATGGAGGTGACCTTGCACTTGGGAGAAGAATACAGTAGAGAGACAAACAAAAATCGAACACTTCCTGGTTGAGTCAGTTCTGTTCAGTCAACAATTACAGAGAAAAGTGTCTCTTTGTCTTTAAGTCAAAATTCAACCGACTCCTAACTGCGAAGGGCATGGCAAATACAGTTCAATCAAAAGAAAATTGCAATATGCTTACATTTTAGAACATGTGACCTTTACATCAAATATGCATCCCCTCCAAAAATGAAGACTAGATGCTAAGTGTTATTGAATATCCTTTCTAAAATGTCACCTGGTCTGTTTGTTCAAGCTTGGTGGTCAGCATACAAGAAATGTTCTGCTCATAAAGAATAATTTCTCTCCCTCCAAACAAGACGAGTGTTTTCTTTCTTCCTTTCTTTCCTCTTTATTTTTCTTTCTTTCTTTCTTTCTTTCTTTCTTTCTTTCTTTCTTTCTTTCTTTCTTTCTTTCTTTCTTTCTTTCTTTGTTTCTTTCTTTCTTCCTTTGCCATAGTATACATGTATGGTCTGGCACACAGTTACCAACAGAGGGATTTAATTTTGCCTTGGGAAAACTGTGTCCACAGACATAGACTGATGGTTGAAAGGACATAAAGGCAGCCAGTGTCTCTGGCAGGAACATAACTCTGTTAGTAAATCAAAACAAATCAGTACAAGTTTGCCTTCAGAAATATGAAGGAAAAAAGAGAACATGGTCTCTTCCTGTTGGGGTGTTCCACAGAAGCAAAGCCAAAGAGTCTAAATAGTGAGTTGGTTGTGCTTTAAAAGAAGGAAGCAGTCGAATGCAGTCTGAAGAGGAGATGAAGAACACATATCAAAAGCGGTCTTTTAGCAAAGTGTCTCACAAAAGGACGCTTTAGAGGTTTGCATATGCATTAAAAAGCTGCAATACTTGGTGTATTCAGGTAGGTATAGAATAAATAGGAAATGGTGAGCTCATCGGAGATGCCACACTTCACATTCACACGGCTGAACAAAGAGCTTCATTATCGTCATGGCGATAGGAGGACGCATCTGCA